AAACCTCAGGAGAAAAACTCTATCAAGCACAGGAACCTGAGCCTATGAGAATTAGTGCTCAAGTAGCTGCTGCTGTGCCACTCATCCTGTGGGAGCTGCAGCTGCAGAGGGATGAGGATTTTGCATTCCCATAGACCTGGATGAACCCACCTGTTGGCCAACAGTTTTTTCTCTGCTCATCTGGCACAGCTGCCTACAAAGTAATCCCCTGAGCAAAGCCAATTCAAAATGATTTGGTTTTCTTGAGAATTTTTGTACAATCTAAAGATGCCCGAGGCATTTTCACCAGGTTGGCTTAGAAAATGATCACATGAGCTGCCATGCTGGAAAAATAGGTGAGGTTTTCCACTCTGATGGAGTTCGTGGTGAGGTACTGGGAAGACTGGTGGATGAATGGGAAGTGGTGGCTTCTTTTATACTTGGATAGCAGCAGTGTGAACAGGCAGGGAATGCACTGCTGCAGTTGAACATGTACTTGGGTTCTCTTGCTATGAAATGAGAATGTCCTATGTCATCTCAAGGACTGGTTTTGTCCAGCCTGGAGGAGGATCAGAGGGAATCTTAAACTAATGATGGGAGGCTATAGAGAAGACAGTGATGCATAATGGCAAAGAGAGAGGTCAAGGACATGGGCTGCACCAAGGAAGATTAGATAGAAAGAAAAAAAATTCACTGTGAAGAAAAATCAAATATCCAGAGACATGCAGTCTCTATCCTTGGAAATACTCAAAACTGACAGGACCTGAGCAACCTGATGTAGTTTCAAAATTGGTCCTGCTTCCCTTAGGAAGGGGAGGTGATCTCTAAAGTTCCCTATCAATATATTACATGATCATAATTTTTTTTTAATGGCATCTTAAATTAGATGAGAGCAATTAGTCTTACTGAGGAGTAAATATTACTTGCACTCAAAATAATTCACAACCGCATTCACTACCCACATTTTACAAGCAGCAATATGAAGCAGAAAGGTCATTAATTTGTGTGAGACACAGGGTCTCAAGAGCAGAGATCATAGTGCAAAATTTTCAGGAGTTCCAGGTGTACCACCACCTGGTGTCTGCATTCTGTGTCTCCCCTGCTATCCACTGGTACCTGTGGGATTCTCCAGGGTGCAGCAAGAAGCCCAGGTCCTCTCTGGAGTAGAAGGACACCAAGCAGAGCAGCAGTGTCCCTGCAGCTGTGGTGTTGCAAGGCTTACACCACTAAAATGTCTTACTACAGCTCTGTGTGTCTCTAACAAAACACCTACATAATTCATAATTAGGATGTCAGTATGGTATCTGTTAATTCACCAGTAACTGGCTTAAGCTGTGTTTCATTAAGAATCTTTATTGTTATGTGTGTAATAGAGACACAGAAATAGATAACAGCAAACAAACTACCAATGTGGAAGTCCTGGGTGAGTTGTCAGCTGCTGTTCCTCAGGCACAAGGTCACTGTGATCTTTTACAGAAGGAGATGTTAAATCTTCTTTTGTCCTAGCTTTGTCTGGAATAGGGTTATTTTTTCTCCTAGTAGCTGGTACAGTGCTGTGTTTTGGATTCAGTATGAAAATAATGTTGATAATACACTGATGCTTTAGTTTTTGCTCTGCAGTTCTTAAGGAATTCTCAGTTTTCCATGCTCTGTCAGTGAGCATGTGTACAAGAAGCCAGGAGGGAGCATGGACAGGACAGCTGACATGAACTGTTCAAAGGATTATTTCACACCACGGAGTGAGATGTGCAGTCTATGAACTGTGGGGAGTTTGCCAGGAGCTGCTGATTGCTGCTCAGGGACAGGCTTGGCATCAGTCAGTGGATGGTGAGCAACTGAATTGTGCATCACTCATCTTTCTTGGGTTTTATTCCTCTCTCACTCTTTGTTATCTCCTGTTTCATCACTATGACAACAATAATAATTATTATTATTGTTGTTATTATTATTATTATTGTTATTATATTTTAATCTAGCTCAGTTGTTCAACTGTTCTTATCTCAGTCCATGGGTCTTACCTTTTTTAATTTTCCTCACCATCCCACTGTGGGGATGAGGGTAGAGAAGGGGTGTTTACATGGTATTTAATTGCCAGCTGGGGTTAAACTGTGACACCTTTCTGAGGAGCCAGCTGAACATACCATGCTGTTGTGAACTATGCTTGTAAACTGCAGTTATTTTCCTCTAAAGTGTTATGGGTGTATTTAATGATGCAGAGAATGCCAGGTGAGATAAATGGGTTGACCAAGGCAGATGAGAGATCTGCTGCTAAAACATCACTCATGGTGGCAGGTCCATCTCTTTCCAACTCTGTGTCAAGCTGCTTTTTCTGTCATCAAGACTTTTCTGAACAGACTCTCCAGCTGTGCCGAATAGCACCAGTTAAAGGTGTGGGTTTGTGCAATGGTCTGGCAGTCTAACAATGGTCTAGAAGCACAAACTTAAAATCAAAACTATCTTCAGTTGATGTAATTCAAAATCTGGGACCCTGGATTTCAGGAGGTAACACTGCATTACCAACCCACAGATAGAGGCTGCCTCTAGTAAAAATGTCATGGACTTCTTCACTGTTTCTCTTCTTTCTGTGAAAAAAAATGCCTCATTTTTTTTTTGACATTACATTCAGCCTCCAGTGTAACAGAAGCAGAGTCTTGTGTTCTGGGATGCTGTGGTCTATAAACTTTGATTTAATAACGAAAAGAAAAGAAAAGAAAAGAAAAGAAAAGAAAGAAAAGAAAAGAAAAGAAAAGAAAAGAAAAGAAAAGAAAAGAAAAGAAAAGAAAAGAAAAGAAAAGAAAAGAAAAGAAAAGAAAAGAAAAGAAAAGAAAAGAAAAGAAAAGAAAAGAAAAGACATGCATATTGCTGAGTCATTTTGCCAATTAGCCTCTACCACAGCGACTGGGACCTGAGACATGATCCTTGAAGTTTGAGTGATCACCTTGCTGCTGGCGCTTGACCTGTTCTCCTGTATGAGATCCCAGGGTGTCTGTATGGAAGTGTGAGAGCTTTCTTTGTGTGCAGAAGATGTAACACACAGTTCCAAAGGCTGCAGCTGGTCATCATCAATGTGGATTGGATACTGTGTCTTCCCTGTCTTTTGTGGGGGAGGTCAGACTGAGATTTAAAATACAACTTTCCAAATTCTGTATTTGGCCCTGGAATTGTCTGTTAAAATAGTCAATAGAAAGGCTATCATTAACTCTGAGAACAGCATTGTACTCCAGAGTTAACATCCAAATGTGTGGATTCCTTTATGAGAAAAGGATGTGTGGAGTTCAATTAGCAGTTATGGTGACCATAATTGAGGTCATGTTTCCCTAGATACCATCAGAACAAAAACCCAACAGGATCACTGCAATGACCTGAGTTAAAATTAGCTCTTCTTGGTGATTGTGGTGGTGTATTTTTAACCTGAATTGTTTGAGTGACCCAATTCAAATGCAGCCATGCAGTAGCACACTAGTGAGGGCAGCGGGTGCAGCATCTGAGTGGGAGTGATGCCTTGAATGGAAGCACACACAGGGGACAAGATGTAACTAATTTCTGCCAGAGGTGGCATTTTATTTTTATTTCTCTGGAAATTGGTGGGAAGCACATGGAAAGAGATAGCATGATGGCTTGCAGCACTCTGCACTTGGGACTTAAGGTTCTTTTCTGTGTAGGATTGGCTGTGACACTGGAAGTGTGTTCAGCTTGCAACTTTGTTTTTCAGAACCTGAACTAGCTGGCAGTGTGTAGGCTAAAGCTTTCTGGTGTCAGCCATAGGGCACCTGGACCACCTAACCTGAGAAAACAGAAGTTCCAGAAACCAAATGAATGTCAGCAGATGCTGGTTTTAAGAAAGCTATTGCTTCTTAGTAAGGAAGAAATAGCTACCGTCACCACCTCTCCTCACCCCTAAATCTGTGCCTCATGGTAAGAGAGTAACTGTGTGAAGTAAAAGCAAGACTGAAGGAGGCAACCACAGAACCCACCAGGACTGATGACACTGCTGGATTAGAATAATGATGATAACAATTAACACTGTGGAGGCAGGTCTTACTGCCACTTGCTGCCTCCAAATGAGTGTTGAAACCCACAGAAGTGTGGTTTTCTGTGCCTTGAGTGCAGAGGCACCTGAGGAAGTGCAGCAGAGCTGTTGTGCAGACTGCCATCCCAAAGGCTTTTCACAAGGTTACTGTGCATGGTCCATTTTATATTGGGTACCAGTGGAAGAAAAGAGCAAGGGAGGCCAGGAATTAATGTTGAAGAAGGATGAGAGAATCTAGGTTAGCACACAGAAATGTGTGATGGTGATTTAATCTTCCAGCCTGATGCAGTGGATAGTAAAGAGGTGCTTGGTTACATTTTACAGTTTCCACTTCTACTGAGGGTGCTCCAGCTTTCCACAGCTCTACAGACCACGAGATTACATATAAACCATCTCCATAGTTCGACTCCAAATACTCTATTACAGACTGGGATCAGCCAGAATTTTCCCTGCAATTCTCATTTCCTGTAAACATGTGAAGCCAAATCCTGAAACTAAAAGCTATGGAGGTCACTGTCCTGTGCTTTCAGCACTATATGTATGCATGCATACTGAAAATGAGGAGGAAACTGCTGGGATAAAATTCAGTTGGTACATGAGAAGAGCAGAGTAGCAACAAGTATGTGAGAGAAACTCACAGTAATAGGAGCTGCAAGTATGTGAGTGCAGTGTTAGAATTTCAAGGGCAAAAATTAGGAAGGTGGAATAGAGTGGGAGTAATTTTCCCAGAAGGCTGTGTATTTATTCATAAGGAATGATGCTGTAAGAATAAATCATAGCTATGTAGGAAGTTTTTATCTGTAGGATCCTTGTCTCTCTGCTTGCTGAAGTTGGAAGGTATGAGACATGAATTACATAATTAAAGATGTGACCATAATGATTATGTAAAATGGAACCAACCTAAAGTTGCAAGGCATTAAATTAATTATTATTAATTAAATATTGCATTAAATATTTGAATGTATAAGAAAACATTAACAACTGAAGGCTATTTGAACAAAAAGAAGGGTGTCTTTAAAGAAAAAGAAGTCGGTTTCATGCAGGTGGTTAGTAAAATGGCAACAGAATCAAACAACATCAAGAATTAAAACGTCAACAAGTATATAAATTGCATTAATTTTAAAAGTCACCCTGATAACAAACAAAACTTGTAACAGAAACTATATTTCTACCAACTTAAGTCAATGGAAACTAAAAGAAGTGTATCAGGTGAGTATAACTTTTTATCTTAGGATACAGATTTGTTATAGATTAATGTTTTCACAGGCACATAACTGTCTTGGTTTTCAGAGATGGCCATTCACTTAGGCTTTGAATCTGAATATTTGATGGAATTCATGTTGCCTAATTTAAATACCTCACAATAGACGTACTAAATTTAAATTAGTTGTCTTAGGCTGGCTCTAGCATCTGAAGAGAAAGATCATCTTCAGAGAGAAAGTAATTCCTTCTGACTTGGATGCCAGTCTTATCTTGGGATAACTTATCTCAAAAGATGCTTTTCCTTCTCCACTGCTTATAAAAGGAGCTTAAGATAACTAAGACTCAAGTTATCTACTTTCACATGATTAAAGACATGAGATAAATCCTGTAGGTCTTGTTATCTAACATAAGGCATTCACAATTGAAAACTGTAGTCATGATAGCTACAGGCCATATCCAAACACACTTTTGCAGTTTATGCTCTGTATACTCCAAGGGTTAGCTCTGTAACCAAGCAGTTCACAGACATATTTAACCAGGGTATGGACCATCTTGGCAGAAAGCAAAGATTCAAACCCCAGTTTTGGAGGGTGGCTTGCTGGAAAGACTTTGTGGCCACTGTTTCCCACAGTGTGTCAAAGATTACATCTTTTCTCTTGGTTCACCTGTATTTCAAATTTGGCTTGAATGAGTCACTTTGTCTTTGGGGTCTTCTTGGGATTTGTCTATAAACATGGGTTTCTTTGATTGTAAGATTTCCCTTTCCAACCTCTAAACATCTTGTTTAATTGCCCTTTTCAAATTCTTAAGCTATCCAGCTAAGACTCTGAAAGGCCTGGATGGAATTGAGAGGAAAGTAATGAGAATCAAGGAATGTCCCCCAGAATTATTTTAACCTTCTTTCAAAAAGCTTGCTTACTCTCCTTGCTTGAGGCTGTGGAGCTGTCTGGGTAGGTATCTTCTCTTGCCTCCTTCCTTCGTCATGTCTGTTTTTGGCACCAGAATAAACCAGTTTCTGACAAGGTGGCTACATTATTAAGCAACAGCTGTTGGCAGGCAGATGGGAAAAGCTGGTTAGACAAGGAAGGGGATGGGAATCTAGCCAGCCCCTGGAGGCATCCGTGAAAGGGATTCCTGCTTTCCTGATTCCTCTTTGCTTCTGCCTTATTGACTTGTGCTCTGCTTCCAGAATTGGGTGACAGGTGAGTTTTCAGTCTTCTCCTGGGAGCATGAGCACGTGCAGCAGTTCCAGGAGGAAGCTGTGGTTCATGTGGCTGTTACTGGGAAGGACAGCACCATCCAGAATCACGATCTCAAAATTATTCTCCTGTATTCTTCTGGAATACATCCTGGTACTTTCCACTCTGTTTTCTTCTCCTTGCCTAGAAACTGGCATCTGCAACCAACTTCTGAACTTCTAACCTCGTTTGTGAGATGGAAAGAAGCATGATCCCCACTGTCGGCCTTGTGATTCCACATAGTATGATAATGTAGCAGTTTTCTGTTGGATGTAGAAAGAGAGTTGTGACCCCTACCTTGGGAATTGCCATAAATTTGGAAATTGCTGCTGTTTTCGGTTATTTTATGCGAATCTAGAAAAGGTCTTTTCCCTTTCCCTGTAGTTCTGTTGAAAACAAAACCCATTCTAGAACACTGAGCAGAAAAGACCAATGGAAGGTAAGGCTGAAAGCTTGTGGGTGTTTAGGTTACGGTGCTGAGTGGTCACTTCCTTGTCCAAAAATTCACCTCTGGTTGTAGCACCCCTCCTTGGATATGGCTGACCACATTCATGGTTTCACTATTTCACTTTGTAATTACAGATTGCTTTCACCTCATTTATTAAAGTCACTTTGTGTCCAACTAGGCCACCTTTTATGCAATGTCAAAATAAATAGATAGAATTAATTATGAGTCTTTAAATATATGCATGAGAGTTGCATTAGTTTTTGAAACATGGAAGTGAAACATTAAAATTATTTTCCTGAATGAGATGACTCATTATGCCTGGGAAAAAAAGGTCCTGTGATTTCATTGTATTTCCACGTCATTAAGAAAATATACTTCAAGCAGATGAAGGACTGCAAAATTTGCAGACCCATTATTACTGGATAGTGGAAGCAAAGAGAAGTGCATTGCATTTGCATACAAATACATGAGTGTGTTTTAGGAATCGATTTTTGTTTCTTAAAAAAAAGATATCTATTTAGAAGATAAAACAGCGCTCTGGTTTGTGAAGACAAGCCTGGACACACGGTGTCTTCAATCCACTGCTTCCATGTCTGTGTCCCCTGTTTGCTCCACGGACTGACCCTGGACAGATCTATCTGCTGGGTCATCTGCACATTCTGCAGCTTTTGGTGGACACTGAATGGGTGCTGGCATATTCCCAAGGGACATGGGTGTGTTTTCAGTGAGGGTTGGCACATTTTCGGGGGTTGCTGGCATGCTTTCAGTGGGTATTGGCATATTCCCAGTGGGTACAAGCACACTCTCAGGAGGCATTGGCACACTTTCTGTGGGTGTTGGCACCCTGTCTGGAAGTGAGGGCATGCTTTTGGTGGGCTTTGACACATTCTCTGTGTGTGCTGTCATACTTTCAGTAGGTGCTGGTGTGTGTTCAGTGGGTGTTGGTGTGCTCGTGCTGGGCTGCTCACAGTTGTTTCTAGCCTCTGAGCGTGGAATGAGTGGGGCAGGAGGTTCTGGCACCAGGACGGCATTACATGTTTGAGTGTCACAGGTCTCTGGATTGCTGCTGTTGCTTGGGAGGGAATCCTCTGCCTTGTGGGACACCCTGAAAGCTTCAGCCAGCTGCTTCAGCATCCTCTTGTCACTCTCATGCAGCTCAATGCTCGCCTGCTCAGAGGGGGAAGGGGTTGTTTTAGTATCATGTTCTTCATCATCTTCTTCTTCTTCTTCTAAGATGCCATTTCCATTCACCTCCTCTGGGAACTGTGCTTCCTTGATTTTTTTGTACAATTCATTTCTCTCTTCCTGCAGAGCACGGCAGAGGTTCTCTAGTCTCTGGATTTTCAGCACGAAGCACTCATACTCCTTGGACCTCATGGCTTTCTGTAGTCAAAGACATCAGGCAAAAGTACAGGCTCAGTTTGGGTGCATGCAATTCATTGGTGGAACTGGCAATTAGGAAATTACTTGAGCAGCCTTCAGAGGATGCTGCCGAGTGGCTGCCTTTCACCAACTGCTCTTCTATAGTGTTTTGGACCAAAAGTTCAGGAGGAAATTCATCCCTGTAACTACAGTGTATTAACATTCTGGATACACATTCAGATCAATTTCACTCAAATATATTTGCAGGAATACCTGCTGATGATCTGGAGAGATAATAAAAGCATAGTGGATGTCCATACAGATAAGCATGTGGGTGTGAATTTCGAGGCAAACAAGCTGCTTTTTTTTGTTTGTTTGTTTGTTTATCTTGCTTCTGGGCTCTGTAAGAGCATCCTGAATTGGAACATTTTCTACATCCAATGAAGAAACAAGAGATACAGAAATCCATAAAAATAGAAATAGCAGTAGCACAAAGCTACAAAGCTAACCAGAAAGATCTGGTCCAAGTTCAGCTTATATTTGGGGTGAAACTTCAGGCAGCCTCTTATCTTATTTGAATGAGTTCCAATGTGCTTATGAACTTCCTTTGCAATGCCCCTGGGACAGCACATTTAAAAGCATGGTGAGACACAGTACTTGCTTTTGACTCTTAGAGTCTGACTACACAGGAAGTTAATGAAAGGCATGATTTTAAAGTTCATTAGCTAGAACACATTAATTCCCTGGGTGGATGCTCTTATGCAGAAAGTAGCATGAAGTGAACTAATGCAAATTTGCTTGTATGAGAGAGCATTGAGAATCACCCATTTTTAGAGCACTTAAAATTCAGAGTTACATAATTCAGTTTCTCATGGATGTAGTGGATGTAGCCTGCACAATCTAAAAGCAGTTGGGATTGTCTTTTTCTCTAAAGACATCCAATTTTCAAGATAGCTTGAAAGAAAGACTTTTAGATTCAAGAAGAAATTTTTCACTGACTTCTGGGATTATCTCATCTCCTAGTTAAAGCTTTACGTGGGGAAAAGGATGCATCTTGAGCTGGAAAGACTGCTTACCTCTTCAATCATATCCAGTAATGCTCTGTTGCAGTTCTCAAACCTGGATTTCCATGTAGCAGTATCCTTTTCTAACTTCTTCATTTTCTTTGTCATCTATAGAATCAGGAAAAAAAGCTGAATCACAACAGAAATTCCATGCTGAAGATGGACAGCCCCTTTACTCAAGTCTTTGGCTCTACTTAGAGCTGTGCTACCAGCAGCTATAGTGTCTGTGCTAAGAAATAATTTATGTTAAGGGATGGATTTCATATGAAGTAGCTGCTATATCACTTTCTAGTCTGTAGTCCCAAAAGTAGGACCAGCTGATTATAGCAAACTTCCAGCATACAAACTACCACAAAAACAAAAGGCAAAGAATTTGGTGGAATCTGTTTGTCTCTTTACCAGACTACAGTGTTAGACTCTAGAAAGTTAAAGACGGGCTCTTCTGAGGCCTCAAGGCCAGGGAAATTCTCCCTAGTCTAGTCACCCCTCTATACTACCTCCAGAACACACCACCAGCTAAATAGCACCATTTTTCCTGTTGGTTTCCTGAGTTCTGTGGGCAGAACTCTCTGTGAAGAATAGTTAGTGCTGCCTGGATCAGGGCATAAGGATTTTGAGCCTTGGTGGCAGAGCAGGACATAGTTTATTATGAAAGCAAGTATGATATGTAGATGTATTTGTTTTTTAACTCCCACTTATTATAGGAAGGAAACAGTCTCTTGGACTGTTTCCACATGGTGTAAAGGGGTTGGTGGGCTTCAGCTCTGCCTGCATACTCTAGTGGAAAGATGTGTAGCCTATATCAAACTGTCTACCAGTGTCAGTCACCCAGAAGGTTCTGGGCACTGCTGAGAACATGGTCTAATACATGTGGCTCCCCCTCTGGAATGTCTTAGGGATCTGTATCCAACCACCACATTATATTTTAGGTAAATCTTTATTCTTCCAGGGATTTTCAGTTTTAGCTGAAATGGAGAGCTTTCTACTCTCTGCTGTTCAGCTTGCAAAGCTGAAATCTAACCTGCTGTCAGTTGTGGCTGAGTGTGCCCTAAATCTTATTTGAATGTTGATGAAATTATTCTTCAAAATGTGCAGAGATGGTCTCATCTCAGGTAGAATTATTAGAGGGAGAAATATCAAAATCTAAAAGGAAAGTATCAATTACAGAGTTCAGGCATGAGCTCCTACTCACTTTTTCCATCTCCTGTTTGAATGTGGCAAACACTTCATTGCTTTTGGCCAATGTTTTCTGAAATTCTTCAAATCTTTCAGAGTAGAGAGTAATCTGTATTAACAGAGAAGAAAAAAAAATAACAAACTTCAGTAATTTCAGAACATCCAGGATGGTGAACTTCTGCTTGGGTAGAAGATAATAAGTATTGTGTTTGGACATGGAAATTAGTTTCAAAACTCTTCAAAACTTTTTATGGTTGCAAACTATTATGATTCCTCCATTGCAGAAAGATAAACCGAGTAAGAATAGAAAGAGCCAGACAAGTGATTTTAAAAAGACCTGGCAGTTAAGGATGCCTTACTCTCCTGAATCCCTTGCTTTGATTCCTGGCCCATCTCCATGAGCAAGGACTAACCTGAGCTGGTCCAACCACTGATGCTGTGCAAGGCCATTCAGTGTGATTAACTCAAGATGAGAGCCAGTGTGAGCAGAGCTGTGCCTGAGCTCTAAGCCTTGCTTCACCATGCAGATGTCACCAAACCCCAGCTTTAACCTGGGGGTTTCAGCCCTGACAGAGGAGGTCAATACTGCATGGCTGCCTGGCTGTTCACCTGCCTTGTGGATTTCTCAGAGTACTCTTCCAGCCAGGCTGGGACCTGGGTGCTACTCTGGCTAGGATGCTTTTAATGTCCAAGTGAGCTGGGGGAGAGGCATCCCCACATCACACTGCAGTCATGGTTTTCCTTCTTCCATCTTTCCACCTGGTGGCTCAGGCTGTGATCAGGAGCTGCACAGGCAGTGCTTGATGTGCTTCACTGGACGCCCCTGTTAAAGAGGAGTGTCACTGCTCACTTTCTATGTTACCTGGCATGTAAACAAAGCCCACCCTTTACTTTCACACTGCTGTGATTCTGCACTGGATTCCTTCAGGATGCATCCCTGCACCACAGCTTGAGCAAGCTGAGAGGGCACCTTGTCAGCTGTTTTGGACTGCAGCTGTAGGCAAGGCCAACAAAGACAGAGCAAGCCATCCCCAGCCAGCCTCTTCTGCCAGTTTCACTTCACTCTGTGAAGCAGAAGAAAGTTCTGTTGCAATGTCCCAAATTTCAGACTACCAGGGCTCCATATTTTGCTGTCAGTTTATACCTGGCAGCCATGTGAAAGTTCTTCTGTGGCTGTATTTTGTCATTATTACATTTTTTTTTTAATGTAAAATCATCAGGTGGTTTTGGGGAAACAAATATTCTAAAGATCTGAGTTAGTTTTTATTTAAGATTTTGTAGTTTTTGGCTTTTCCTGTGTGGTTTGGTTGTTGTTGTTGTTGTTTTGTTTGGTTGATTTTTTTGGTTTGATTATTTATTTGTTTGTTGTTTTTTTTTCTCTTTGGAAAAGAAGACCAGCTCCAGCTTGTTTCGTTCCTTCTGGTGCCAGAACATCCCCAGCAGTGTTTAGATCATCAGACATCTCATCTGTCCAGCCTGGCAGCTGTTAGGAAAAGTGATAGTGTCACATGTGGTGGCTGAGGCAGGGTGGCTGCAGAGAACTAGGAGGATCAGGAGCAGCCTGCAGTATTCCAGGCATGGAATACTGGGTGGAAACTGGCTGCCCTCTCTCTCCACACTAGCAGGGAGCTGGATAAAGGATTACCTGGGAGCTTTTCTTTAGTGTAGTGCCAGCCAACTCACTCCCTCCCTTGATACTACTGTGAAGTTACTGAGGAAAAGAAGATTTAGAAAATGTTGCTAATAGTGGGTGGGTTTCATTCTGATTTTGAAATCAAGTACAGTTATGTTATGTATCATGCTTGTTCAAGCTAGTTGTTATGGTGCCCCTTGCCACAGCCACAAATGCAGGGTTGCAGCCAGGTATAACCTGGGCTGTAAGGGCCTTGGAGGCTGAGAGGAGGGTACAGGCTGCAGCCCTTCCCTGGATGAAGACTCAGGAGGTTAACTTGTTCAGAGCACTCAGTGGTGGCAGTATCAGAGCTAGCTGACATGAAGCTTGCATGTTTGTATTTATACAAGGCTGTAGCCAGAGCTGTGGCCTAGGCACAAACAAAAACACAGAGGGATTTTTTTTAGCAGCCCAAGTTCCACAGCCTAGGTTGGACACTGATACCAGGTGTAGCAGTGGAACGCTGACATTTGGAAGAGATGTCACAGTGAAATGTCAGAGCTTCCCAAAGCCAGATGATGGAGCAAGCATGGGAGTCAGAGAACTGAGGCTCCTAGCCCAGATCTGTTTTAAAAAATCTCACCTCAATTCTGTCTCTGCTTTACCTTCCAATATTTGCATATTGTTTAATTAGGTCAAAAACATTTCACGTTGGAACAGGGCAAGCTCTGACCTCAGCTGGGGCTCTAAGCAGCACCACAACTCTAAGAATAGCTTCTTCAATTTAAAATGAATAATAAATGAATGTTTTCATAGTGGCTGGGAATAGGGTCTGAGAGATGTCACTCACTGGGAGTGCCCTAGTGCCCCAAGATCAGGGAGACGAGGACCGCCTTGCTGCATCCAGCAGGACTGTGTGAGAATGGAGAGCACAGGCAGCACTGCTGTGAGTACAAGGCCTTGGGAAGTGGGGACTCCTCAGCACTGCCATGCTGAGAGGGTGCTATGATGGAGACACCCCCTTGGCCTTGTTATGTTCTTCTTGGTTGCCATGGTTTAGTGGTTGCCCTGTGCTGGCTACCAGACATTAAAAGTCTTGGCTGGCTTCTAGTTTTTTATTTGGTTTCAATGCATGGAGCTAAAATACTTTGCCTAAGCATCCTGGGAAGCACCACCACAGTTTGGGTGTACCTCCTCAGCTGGTGCCAGATCCCTGTTACCGTTTGGAGTGGCAGATTTGGCTGTCTCTGGCACTTTGTGCTGTCCAGAGACCGGCTGGCATTAACGTGATGTCCCCAGTTCCTTCCAGCTCAAGGAAGAAGTGGGTGTTTATCACCTCCTCTGAAACAGAGTGATATCTCACTGTGAAGGTTATATTATGGCTTCTCCCTATCTCACTGACCTAACATCTTATAAATGTCTGTGCAGCTGTTCCTCTGTTAATTATAGAATGACTTGTATTAGAAAGGACCCCAAAGACCCTCCTTGCCATGGGCAGGGACACCTTCCACTAGACCAGGTTGCTCAAAGTCCCATCCAACCTTTTCTGGAACACTTCCAGGGATGGGGCATAATATCTATTTATTGCTTTGAGTTGTTTGTATCAAGGAGCTCTTTATGCTCTTTATTCTGTTCTGCACTTGCACAACACCTTACATTACAGCATCTGGTTCATGAGGGAAGCCCTTTGGTGCTACCATACTGGAAATAATAAAAAGTTTTAAAAATAATATTAATAATGTTATCATTCCTTGCAATTCCAAATGAAGGCTGATATGTAAGTGACAGAGCTCTCACACTTGAGCAACACACTTAACTGCATGTTTCATTTCAGGAAATGAATCACCTAATTTTTGTCTGCACAAGTCTGCAAGAGACACATGTATTCTCAATGCCTTTACAGACTTGACTGGTGTTTTCTAAAAACACCTTTTCTGTTTCAAATGTTCTAGTTTTTATCAATATCTCCAGCTTCGTTAAACTGGCTACAGAGGTCTGCCTGCACAATATTTTTTTCTTCTGGTTGAACATAAAAGTTTAATTAAAACCACTCTGAGAAAATTGGGTGCAGGCTTGCAGTCAGGACAGACTCAGCTGGAGGTCTTTGAGGCTCCATTGCAGAACCTGTCAAACTATTGTCAGCAGCAGTTTATATGATGTTCTTCGGTGTGCCACTGGCTTATCTCAGCCTCTGAAAAAACACATGAAAAACAAAACCCCTCTTTGCATGTTTCCAGGTTATCAGTTTAATACTGACATTTCTTGACAGCTCAACAGGTGGCAGTTAGACCATCTGCAAGAAAAAAGCTGGGACAACTTGCCTGTATGATTAACTATGAGCAAGAGCTAGAAGGGTCCTTCCTGATGGATGAGGAGATTGGAAGCTGCAAGAGGGGCCGACTGGCACCACCCTCCTCAGGGTTCTGTTTGGGGGGACTCTTTCTCACAGACAGGTCATAATTGTGAATCTACAGAACTGTTTCGTACATGTAGAAAAATCTACTGATACTCTCTCTTATTGATGTAATCTAGTGTTCTCACTCATTGATTCAAGGTCTCACTTGACTATTAAAAGTGATTATTGCATTGCTCCCAAAGGGTAGTATATTCTGCCTATGTCTTAGTTTTACTGCCTTTGACTCCAGCTTGACTTCTGGTGTAATTTTGGCAAGTAATTATATTTTATTGGAAGTTTCAAATTACACTTAAGCACTGAAATCCTAGAGACCCCTCTCTATAAGCCCTTGGTAGACAAAATTCCTGTTAAAGTTAATGAAAATGCTGTCTTTGCACCCCAGTTCAGAAAAGCATATGGGCACAGCAGCTCCAGTTTGGTAAATTTGTTTCCTGATGTGTATGTACTCCAGTGCTTTGCTGTATCAGAAACCTGCCTGACAGATAGTTATGGTGAATAATCAAGGCACACACGTTGTTCCGTGGTTGAGCACTGTAAACACTCATAAATCAGCACTTTAGAATTATTAGGGTCAGAGGAGACCTTTAAGATGACATAGCCCTATCCTTCTGCTTTAGGCGGGGACTCTTCCCACTGACCAGGTTGCTTCAAACCCCATCCAGCCAGTCTTGAGCACTATCAGGGATGGGGCATCCACAGCTTCTCTGGGTAACTTTTTCCAGTGTCTCACCATCCTCACAGCAAAGCATTACTTCCTCATGTGTAAAAGAAGTCTCTTTCACTTTAAAACTTTTACACTCTGTCCTATCACATGCCCTGGCAAAAAATCTCTCTGCATCTGTATAAACCTCTTTTAAACACCAAAAATTTGCAAAAAGGGCCTTCTCTTCTCTTCTTTAGACTAAATACCCCACATGTCAGTATGATTTGCAGTATGGGCATTACCTTACAGGTGGCTTGAAAATATCCTACTTCCTTTGCAATAGTCTATGGGATGTAGAATGAGGCTAGGAGGAATACACAGAAAGTAGTTTGGATACTTTACCTGGGATGTGCCTCACGAGTTAAAAACTGGCAAACAAACGCACACCATGCAATCACCTCTCCTGCATCACCTGTGCCTGTAGGACAGTCTCTTGCTCCTTTAACATTTTGGCCTGGAGCTTCCATTCTGCAGCTTGGTTCAGGAGCTGTATTTTGGGCAACAGAGAGAAAATTGTTAGGTCCCTAGATTATCAGGTGGAAATCCTCATCCTCCAGCTCCTCATGTTACTGTGATAAGGAGTGATCTAACTTTCAGTTGAATATAGTTAGAGCAGTTAGGTAAGACAAACTGTTTAGTGTTATCCTGAGACATGGGACAGGCTATTTGCATTCAAAGGCATATTTGAATAGGAGTTCAAAACCTACTTGGAATTAAGTGGGCTATAAAAAGTGTGGTATTTAACCACATCTTCAGCAGACTTCTAGAGAATGGTTATGATACTTTCTGGCACATTCATTTCAGCACAGTTCCAGCCAAATTCCTGTTCTTCAATGAATGGCAAACTTCCTTTTGCATTAGTGACCATGAGTTAGCATGTGGGTATGGTCACGGTCAGACCTGCATCAAAAAAATCTGTGAGTTTTCAGAAAACCACTGCATAGTAAATGTAATATATTTGCTGCTGCCTGTTATTTTTGGGCTCTGTTTGCAATGACAAGTGGAGAATTACAGCTCAGGGTGATAAATATCTCAGGTTAAGCAAGCAGCCCAAGAGGAGCTTGACTGCAGTTTCTTTCCTGGCTTCTCCTGGGAAGGTGTGCTTCCCTACTCCATGGTGTTTGGCAAAATCACATTCTGATGTGCAGGCTGCAGATAAAACAGGCAGAGGATTGGTCAAGGCTGAACAAACTGTAGGAATGAGGTTTGCAGAGACCTTTCCTGGCTACAGTTCTGAGTCAGCACTTCCAAAGTACACAGTAATATTTTAGCTATTGGTTTAATCTGAAAGCAGGAAACATTTACCAGAGTGTTAAAGAAATGTCCCTGTCATCTACCAAGCATTTTTAAAGTGTTTTATTAGTCAGGCCAAATATATTTTAGAAAAAGAATGCTAATGATTGCTTGAGAAATGAGACATAAAGAAGTTGTTTTACCACAGGATTTTGCTCTGTTGGATTAAATTGAACTTAAATTGTACTGTAAATTGTATTTAGAATAGCACAGCTGGGCTCTGAAAATATATTGATAATTAAAAGGACTGTGTACGTCAGTGGATCTTATACTGGAAGTGAAAGGTAAGTAGAAGCACATGCAGAAAATGTATTTGATCCCCAGTAAAAATTTTTATTCTAACCATTTTATTGGAAATAACACATGTAAACTATGCAAATACCACCTGGTAAAAAAGCTGAGGATGAACCCTAAAATGCTGACAGTCTCCAGCTGTTTGTGGCACAGTGACTATCTGAATTAGACTAGCTGCATAAACATATATATATTAGCTCTAGAAAAATATTTCTTCCATCAATTTGGCCCTTTGATTTGGACCTGCTGAATTTTTACCATCTAAATTTTCCTAGACAAGAAAGTTTTGCAGCTCAATTATGAAAAAATGATGTGTTGTACTTGTATTATACCTGCCTCTTAATATTTATTTTGAGAATTTAATATGATGTTTGATTCCATGGAGATAAATCAAGTTCTTTAATTCAGATCTTGTTGATTAAAATTTCAAAAAGGATGTGCCATGGCCAGTTATAAGAGTTGGTATGGGTTAAGTGAGCATCAGTTTGTGCATTTATTTTCTCAGAAAAGGGTATGCTTTACATGTACCAAAAAAAAAATCTGCTTTTAAAAAGTTTGCATGAGATCTGGATTTTTAGGTTTCACCTTTCTTTAATATCTACTTTTTTAGAGTGCCTTTTAGAATTTATAAGGCTTGAATGATTTAATGAAAAGTGCTTCGAAAGCCTTCAGAGCTACCTGGTCCATAGGCCAGTCATTACTTCTAAGAACTGGACTTTTATCTGAATTTCTTTAATCTCAGCTAGGGTTTCCTCCATATCCAGTGTGACTGGAATAATGAAAGGTCCCACTTCTTGCACCATGTCTTTGGACACAGCACAACAGATGGACAGAGAACACAAAGAAAAGTTGCTTCTTTTGCCTCTTAATGAAATCCCTCTCTCTTATTGACCCACATAACTTCTGCAGTCAGCAAAAATCCAAGAGTTAATAAACCCTTCTGTAATGGAAGCAAGCCACAGAGAGGCTTGCTCAAATTAGCACATGTTCTTATGCAGCCTGAGGTCATCTCCAAACACCAAGCTGGGAGAAAATGAATCAGAACTGATACATTTATTAATAGATTATGAAGTGGTAACAAGGAGGCTGAAGTATCTAGAAATGAATAAATATTGCATGTGGTGTTTACAGAGCAGCACTTTAGTGAAGGGTGGTGATGCCACACTCTATTATTAGAGCTATGATAGCTGCTGGAGGCCCAGACAGTCACAGGGGCTGGCTTAGTGAAAATTAAGCTTCTCTTTTTGCTGTCAGACTCTGTAAATTCCAATTATGTAGTGCTGGCCAGTTGTTGGATGGTGATAAAATTGCATCCTTAGGTAAAGTTTTCCCTTTGTGGAAACCACATATTAGGAACCACTGCTGCTTCAATAGGGAATTGCATTATTTGATGCATGTGTAGAATGAACTGTGCAAGGAATGAGATGACCTCCTTTTGAGGTGTACAGGCTCTGCAAGAGGGAACGTCTCTCACTGTCTGAGGTAAAGAAGTTTTGCACAGGGGCGAAGATTCCTGCATGGAAGAAGTTCATGGGAAGGCATCAAAGTGAGCCTTCAAAGAGTAATCAAATATATAAAATCATACAATAATTTTAATTTAAGAACACTTGCAAAATCCTGCAGCAAAGGTCATGCACAGGGATGACAAAATCCTATGGCTAGAAAGGTTCTGAAAGCTGTTCTAACTTTGCACATTACTGAGCCAAGTGAGAGAACTCCATCAAAAGCACCTTGATTTCATACGCACATGTATATACATTACTCCCACAGACACTAGCACAATAGCTGGGTGGGTGGGACTAAGAGCACATCAATAGGATGGAGGTGGGAGCCAAGTGTAGGCCAGCTCTCTAGGTGCTGGGCTACTTGTGATGAATCGTGACATGCCTAATTATGCCTTGACTCATTGCATGGCTTTTGGCCTTAATTTCTTCAGCTAAATCTACCTTGCTTGGAGGTGATGTTAGCCATACATCACCAGCCTACCTCAAGGATAGGATTTTTAAGCATTTATTTGGATGATGGGAAAAATAGTCTTTGTACACTGTTCATACCATTATACACCCACTGTGTAAAGGTTTTGTAGCTTGTTTTCAAATCTGTTATTTCTTACACACAGCAAAGCCCAAAAGAAAATCTTCCTCTCCCAATTGTAGACAGTGATTACTTTCAGTACTTTAAAAGAAATGAAAACACCAAAATTGTGCATACCAGTTCTGGATAATACATACAAAGAAGTTTTGGCTAAAACAGGGACAGTCACAGATGACAAGCAGCACCAAAATTCATGTTCTGAGAGATGCAGCATGAAAGATCATTGACACAAGGCTGTATATGCCAGTTTTCCACAGAGCCAATGCCTGGTCTTTTGTATCTCCTGTTCTGAGTTTTTCTTTCCCTCCTCAGTATTTGAAATCTGGTACTCATTAGCAGAACTCCCAGTGACATCAGTAAAGTAAGCCCATATTTGCTTTGCCATTGTAAGTTATTTCTTGGACATCTGGAGATTTCTGGAGTTTAAATCTGCCAAGAATCAATGGTCATGAATGAAATTTTGGGGTTTGGCTTTATGTAGGTTTCAGAGTGAAGAAAGATAAGTCAGCTGGACTACAAATTGTCATGCAGTGATATGCAGATTTGCACAGAGAAGCCCCACCTCGTTTTCACCCTCACTCTTTAGCAGGAAGTAAAGCTGAGCAGGAGTAGGTGTTCCAGGTGCAAGATAAGTGCAGAGAAATAGGATAAATGCTATTGTGGGTTGGTTTTGGTAAGAGATGTATGCCGTATTTTCCCTGTGCTCTAATATTTTAATCTATTTTGAGTATTTTAAGGTACCCGTTAGTGCCATGCTTGTGCTAATATATCTGTTTCCAGACATGGGGAAGGGATGAATTTCCTCTCTTTGTAGAAATCTCTCATGCTGCTCCTGAGTTAGCTGGAGGACTGGTGAAAACTAAAGCTTTCTTCCAGCTGATGAGAGCCTGTCACTCCCTCTGAGAGCTGCTGCCTCCACTGAGAAGAGGGACCACGCGCCTGCGTTGAACTCCGATCCTTTGTAGATGTGAAGATTGCTGTGAAAATACCAGGCAGTCTGAGAAAATTAATTTTAGTCTGATTGAGTCACAAAATGTGTGAGACTACAGATGGATGAGTGCCCTCCTTCCATCCCAGCTGCGCCTGCAGAGGACATCCCTGCTGCTTTTCCCTGTCCCCCTGCTAGAGATGTTCCCACCTCCAGAAAGGGAGGAAGAGCAGACAAAGCTGCTAAATTGATCCAGACCCTGCCTGCCTGAAAGAGGCACTGGCAAACCAGTGCAGGGAGGGAAACAGTGAAGGGGAGGCTTTGTAAGAGTAAGTGGCTCCTGTGGATTCCTCCACTGGCCAAAGTGCATCCACAGAAGGATGCCTGGGGAGCCTTGGAACCTGGGGGAATAGCAGCCTTCAGCCATTTCACTTCAATGCCATATTCTTGGTGTCCTCTCTGATGGTTTAGATGTGTGCATTCATTGTGTGGGGAGATGGAGTATCAAGTACCAGAGACAACTGAAAACCAAAGGCACCACCTGACCCAATATCACCATGCACCAACTGTGCAGTAACAGTGAATTAGCTGAAGCAGTGGGCTCTAACCCACTGCTCTGCAGCATGACTCTAAAACTGTAAATGCCAAAGAAAGCAGCCTTTCAGAGGCTGTCCCTTTGCATTGAGCACTAATGGTAGCTACAAAAACTTCTCACTACTGTACCCCAGAATGGACCTGAATATGTTAGTGAAATAGCATGCAGAGCTTGTTTTGGCCTAAAGCTAAATAAAAGACAGACACATTAGAAAGATGGGTACATACATATTCCTTCTCTTTCTGGTGTCGCTCCTCGGCTTCCTTCATCATTTCCTGAGACTGTTCCAACTTGGCATCCACCAGTTTCTGTTGAAGTTCTCTATGCTTAAATATTTTGTCAAGGTGCTGTAAAAAATAATTTCTGCTGAATGTGCAGGTTTAATTATCTACACAGACCTTCATGCTTGTACATGTACAGCTATTTACTGGAACGCTTAAAAGACAAAATCATTGCAAAACAAGAAGACACTAAACCTATTGCGACTACTTAAAAGTTACAGCACTGATAAGAATAAATTGTGTCAGAATTACCATGGGAAGGGAAACTGGTGTACATTACCAATTTTGATTTATTGTAAGAAAAAGAAAAAGCCTTAGCATCTTTGCCAGTTCTATGGTCTACACATACAGTCATCAGTACAATCTAGTATGACTGAAGATCAAAAAATTGCTCATCGATAATAAATATGCTGGGGAACACACTTTTTTTTAGCTGTTAAATGGCCATTGCATCTGAGCCAGAATGTGGATGATGGTGTAGACACATTGCATCTGCAGTATTTGGGAGCATGCACAGCTCATGACATCCTCTGTGTAAATACAAGCCCAGCACATCCCCTTTGTTCTGGACACACCTGCATAATGGAGGGCCTGGGTGACAGGACATGAGTGGGGATCTGGAGATAAGACCAAGCAAACCAGAGGCCTCCTCTAGCTTGCAAGATGTCTGCCTTCATGGTAACTTTCAGGGGATAAATATTGCTGATAGCCTTCTTCACTCTTAATTCATTTAGATAAAATTCATAGGAGCAATTATTCTGCATGTGTCCTTCTGGTTTACTTTTTCTTCTCATAGACACCACAAGAGAAGAGTGTACATTTCCTTCATTCAGTATAGGAATTCATACATCATTCAACAGATTTGGAAAAGCAGGTATTGTATCAGTCATTCCAGAGTGTAAAGACAGATAACTTATGTTTTATTCAGTATGATAATGTTGTCTGATTACACTGAGGCTCACAGTAAGTGTATTTAGAAACTATAAAAAGACCCATGGTGATATTTGTTGATGTTTAAAATAAAATTTTAAAAAATGGTAGTTTGGGATTTTACTGGGGGATTTCTTCTGGTGTCAAAATTAAAAAAAAAAAAAAGAATCTATTTCAATTCAAAGGGTCTCCTTTATCTGTCATCCTAAATTTATTCTTTGGGAAAGAGTCAAATAGTTTGCATCAAAGCCCTTCTCAGCAACGTGCTTCTGGGGGCAACAAAATATATTGGTTGTCACCTGCAGAACAGGCTGTCTAAAGGAAAGGGAGCTGGGATGTACTCAATGGGAGCTTAGTGGGAAGGAGCAAAGGGATGCTGGGGGAGGTCCCCAGGGATTTGGGAGAGCCCCAGCCGTCAGCCAGGGCACCACTCACCTCTTCCCGCAGCTCGTACTGGTCAATGATGCTTTTCAGCTTCTCCGCCAGCTCCGTGTTCTCCTGGCAGAGCTTCATGTTCCTCTCGCTTTGCTGCTCGATCTGAGCCTGGATTTCACTCAGTGTGCTCTGGAAGTGATTAGTTATTTCTTTTCTCTTCTCATCTTCCTCCCGTGCCCGCTGGATTGTTTCCTCCTGTTGTTAAATGGGAGAGAACGCAGTAAGTGAGAGGCATAATAAACAGTTCCTGAAAAATACTGTTTCAGAGTACCATAAGGCTTCCCTTTGAAGAATTATACGTGTTTGCATTCCTCTTTGGAGATTTTCTTGCTTTCATCTGCTCCAGCATTAGGCATGATTCTAAATTTACAGAGCAAATTACACAGTGGCCTTGAAGAAATTAGGGAACTAAGAATTTGCATTTATAAAGATGGATGTAGAACAGAGCTTCAGGTCAAAGCAAGCCTGAAGGAGAGGACATACATCCTTGTCTTGATTCATGATACTGCATTACAGTTTGTTTGGTTGGTTTTTTTTTGGTTTTTTTGTTGTTGGTTTTTTTTTTTAAGGCATTTAGTGGAAACCATCAAAAGCTCTTTTATCAAAATTTTCTTTGACTGAATTAAAAAAATCACCTTTTACAATGCCTTGTTTTAAAAAGGAATCTCAAATTCATGGCCTTTGGGATTCAAATTTTTTAAGAGAAATCCATAATTTGCTGAAGAATTCCTTCCAATTCCTCAATTTTCCTTCCCTAACTTTTTAGCTAGACATGAACATTTGCACTAATTTACTAGTTAGTGAATTCAAGGAAAGCTTTAAAGTTGTTTTCCACAGAATCAAAGCAGATATTCAGATTTAATTTTTTCCCTATTGTTGAAGTTCTGTTTTAGATTTGTTCATATAAAAGACAATGCAGAAAGAACCTGGATTCACTGCTTTGGATCCAGTAATACAGACAATTTTTATTCCTTCATTTTCTTCCGGGGCAGTGTGCCCTTCTGGGGAATGTAATCCTGATATAGAATTGCTAGACCATTATCTGCTGTAGCTACAAATCAGGCCAGGACCGTGTTAAAAATTCACTCTACAGCATGCAAACTGCATACTCTAATAAGGTTTCAACTAGGATAGTAATTTGCATAAAAATCTCTGCTAACACTGCATATGGATATTTTCTATAAATATATTTGAATAAAACCTTAGCTGACTCTAATAAGGTATAATTTGTATCATGAATGTGACATAGCAGGTGTTGATTCAGGCCCTGCTCATAAAGTAAGGTGAATACCAAATGACCCAATTTCTGCTTAGCATGCACAACACGAGCCTGATCTAGGACAGCTGCTGTTCAAGGGAGGGCGTGTTTGTGCGTTTGCTGTCCGGGGAACGATAGGGAGGCCAACACCTTGGATGATGGGAGGAAGGCAATGGAGCCATTAATAATACCCTAGTGCACAGAAATTAATAATACCCTGGTGGACAGAGCCCTGCTGTGCTCTGCAGTTCACACAAGAACCTGTGTGTGTATTCATAAGGAGTAATACAAAGTGTGAACCCAGAAGGACTCTCTCTCCTAATAGGAAGGAAAAATTTCACATGGAACTGTGCAAATGACTTGGGAGTTGGGTCCTGGTTCAGTACCTGGCTTGGAAATTAGACACACAAAAGTTGCGGCAAGATGAAAGAGAAGGTCTTCAAATTTTTTTTTCTCAGTTGATGAGAATGATTTTGAAACATTTTGCTTGACCAGCAATTGAGCAATTTGTAGATATTTTTTGTTTAAATCCTTTTAGCAGAAGAATGATCTTCCAAAGTAGAGTTTAAAATGCTGCTCAGAAGGTGTTCTAAATCTATTGCTTTACCATTCCCAAAAGGAAACATTTAATTTTCTTTTGAAAGGGCATGTTTACAAACAATGTTATTCTTTTTATTTTTATTTGAAAGTTTTTCCAAATTTGACCTGAATTCCTAGGTAGTTTTGATTGAGTCAGAATTCCATTTTATCTCTAATACACTGTTTAAAAAAACTCCTCATGCCTCTCCATTACATAGGTGCAGCCCTGAGCAGGCAGAAGAGTGCAGGTGCTTCACTTCCAGAAGTCAGAGTGAGAAATTGAACTTGCATGTCTGAAGTCCTCTTTCCATGGCTTCAAAACATCCTTCCTCAAAAACATTTTGTTCTTATAATGCAGGTAGCCTTATAACATATCACTACCATGATTTAAAGCTCTCCAGAGTAATAAGTCCATATGAATATAAACCAAATATGTCACACCAAACAGTTCTGTTACAAGGTGAAACGAGACATCCTGAGACTACCAATCACGCAAATGTAAAAAACCCAATCCTCTGCATGCGTGTTACTCAGAAGATCTTATTTCCTGTTCTTCTGAGGTAGAAAAATGATACAATACAGAGCACAGAGACAATATAGAGATTAATGGTTAAAGACACTGAACCAGCAAGCATTTATTTGCAGGATGCAGGATTTCTCTGAATCTGTTCTGCTTTGGAGAAATATATACTTGAGAAGGATATTTGCTTGGGGATGAGGGCTGGTATGTGTCCTGGGGAGCTCCTCAGAGGCCCTCATTTGTTAAGTCCTTGAGATCTCAGTCACAGATTAAGGGTGGATAGGGGTAAGGGGAACTGGCTGAGCAGTAGGACAACAGTGTGGCTACAACACTGAGCAGAGACCAGCCATAAACTAACTAAAGATAACAAAAGAGAACTATTGTTCTCTTTTCTCTGCCCTTTTCTGAACCTTTGCACTCCATGTTTACCCTTTCAAACACATGTTCTTGTCCTAGTGCAATACTGCTTTTGCTCTCCTGTTTTGCTTCCGAGAGTGTAAGAATGCATTGAGTAAAGCCTTGTTAATATTTATACAGGATACTTTGCAGTTTGGGATTTAGTGCAGGAATATGAGATCATTTGCAAACAGAAGAGTGTGATTGATGCTGGAATTGTTCTTGTGCCTCTCTGGGGCAGTTCCAGAAGACTATTGGTCTGCAGAAGCCGTATCAGCCAAGATGATATGAGTGAGAAATCCTGTTTTCACTGAACTGAGCTCTTCATTCCCAGGCACCACAGTCTGAGCCAATTTGGAGCTGAGCCCATAACTGAAGCTGTTGACTTTTGTGACATTTGTATGAAAGTCATTGCTTAATGCCTGGTGGCAGGAAGGACAAGGGACCCGAGCTGTTCCTGTCGCTACAAGATGCTAAGTAGCTACCAAACTGCCAGATAATTGGCAGAACATGGACTCCGTGCAGAGAAATGAGTTGCTTTTGCTCTTAGCAGAGCTGCTCTCTATTGCAGTGGGAGCACATTCTGCTATTTTGCAAACCTTTATTCTGCTTTTCTTGGAGGGAGAATTAAACATCTATGTAACTGCAAGGAAATAATCAGAAAAGCTGGACTGTACGTAAGTGAGAATTTGAGGCTGGCATCCACTACTAACCAGAAATTTTTCTTCTCTGTGGATTTTCAATGCATCTCTGCATTGCATATTCATCACTACTTGGCTACATGGATCTGCAGTTGATGGGAATTCCACACACCAGATGAGTGAAGATGACATTTACATTACATGATGTGCATATAATGTACCACATGGTAAGTCAGAGGGGGTTTCTGATCTGGGCAGGTCAGCTTTCTCCTTTGCTATTGAAATGACACAAACTCCTAGATTCTATTTTCCACGTTTTGAAACATAATCTAACTGCTAATCCCAAGCACTAAAAATTATGAATCTCTGTCCTGCTAAAACCAAAATAAAAATATTTAAGCATAAGATTTTAAAAATAGCATTTGATGGATTTTCTGGTTTTGGGCCCTCTCAGTACAGTCATAAGTGAAAGAAAATTGCACTAATTTAAATAAATAGAACATGAATTTCTAAACATTCACAGATTTCCAGGAGCATAAAGCATAAAGGCAAATATTCCAAGAACTATACTAAAATTCTTAGAGAGACAAAACTGGATAAAGATAATTAGTGCCTTTATTTCTCATGTGTTCTACAAGTGTATTTTATCTTACTGTCTTTACTTAATTTTGGGGTTTTTTTTCCACACAGATTGCATGGGAATCAGAGGAAAGATAGCATTGTGGGTTTCTTAAAAGGTCTTCAAATTCTCAGAAAGAAGTTATGAAAATTTGAACGCTTCTTCCTAATACCAGATCATCTTGGGCATCTTCCCTGGCTCACCCGGCAAAGATACATGATAAAAATAAGAACTGACCCTGAAATATATAGGTTTTTATTTAGAGAACGTATTCACAAAGTAAAGCAGTCCAACAGGTAAAAAGATGTTGAAAAGAGACTTTCCTAATTGTAAAGACAAAATATGTAAGGAAGTATTTATATATAACGAGAATGGAAAAATCGTGCTGTCTAGTAGGAAGATTAATAAGCATAAAGTAGCTGGCAAACTGTAAGAGGAATTCAACAAAATTTGTTCCAAATATCTTTTCCAAATATAATTAGTTTTTCTAAATGCTCCAGTCTTCACTGATTTGTTCCACTGATATGATTTGCTTAGGAATATCAGTTAAGGCTATGCAAAGCACTGTACACTGTATCCTTAATTCACTTTAAAACTGGCTCGTATTTCTTTTGAAAGATTTTACCCACACATGGCCTGGTAAATCACTATGGATCAATATTGAGGAATAGCTATGTCTAATACAAATGACAGGCACAAATTTAATTTTCACTACCAGTTCTGCATGACTATAACTGAGCACAGAGAGATTTGCTTCTAGCTTCTCTATGTGTTAAACTGCTTTTATCTTTCTACTAGGGCACAGTTTGAGTGAACATGTGACTATTCCCTCTCCTAGCTGTATTCTTACCAGCACACAGTGAAAGCCAGAGCAAGACCCTGAAGGCCCACTCCTGAGCTGGTGGAAATGAATGAAAATGTATTACCAGTAATAGAGGTTATATCAGGTGGAATTCTTGCTGCTGACAATTCCTATGTGTAATTCTATACATAACTATATCCCCATAAAGAAAAGGCTTGAACAGATCGAAGCAGAGGCCTTTTATATACTAATACAAACACCATACCTAACATGTACTCAGGAAAAAAGGATGATCACAACAGAAATATTCTTCTTGAACATACATTTTTCAAGGAGTATAATCATATTATAAATTTCACATTTAAATGGTATGATGCACCAAGCAATTGGCAGACATGATGTATGGATCCCAGAATTTTGACACTCCTGAAAATTTTCTCTTTTAACTGATTCTCATAATGAAAACAACTTCCACAAATAATGTTACCATTCTTCCTATCTTGACATTTGGTGTCTTTAGGCAAATGTCCTGATTGACTGACCCTCATGAATCAATTGAAAAAGTCCAAGTGCTCGAATTACATGAAAACACCCACCAGCCTCCTGTAAGTCCACTGGAGCAAAGCTGGTGTTCCTGTGGTTCTGTCCATGCACGTGCATTTGCATCTGCACTTTGAGGGACACGATCTGTTAGCCCCACTGCTCTCCTCTGCACTGAGCTCCCGAATAATGCAAGGAGGGCTTAGAGCTAATGTGGGCAAACCCAATGTCCCAAAGTGCTGGGGAATTTCCCAATGAGAAACAAAGGGGTCTTGGTGTAAATGGACCTCAAGATTAGAGCATATATATAATTATTACATATTGCATGTGCAGATGCAGAAGTCCCTTTGATTTGGTACTAGAGGGAGATGGCAAGGTGTCAGCATCATCTTTTCACTCGCTGCTGGGTGCTGTGATAAGGCTCCCACTCACCTTGAGGTTCTTGTTGTGCCTCTGGAGCTCTCGGCAGAGGCTCTCGAGCTTGCTGCGAGCGAGGATGGCTCGGCTATGCTCACTCTGCAGCTGGTCCTTCTCCTTGGTGATCTGAGCCTGTCTCTTCTGTAGATACTTCAGCTTTTTCTGCTCAGCACGATGTTCTTCAAGCTGGGCAAAACAGGGATTAAAACAGGGAAACATTGATTAAAATGAAACAAAGAGGGTGAAACAAAGAGGGATAGAAAAGAAAATAAAGTGAGTACTTTTGGTTTGGGGAAATTCTTCACACTTTCTTAACTTCTTAGGAAATCTTTTATATTTACCAGCACTAATGTGATAGGAGAGAGGAACCTGGAGATTCCCAAGCCTGCTTGCTGCAACAGTCCAAAGTGTGCTATAGTGTGGGAGGGTAAATATAATTTTTAACATTCTTGTCACACCATTTTAGCTCTTCCTTTTTTTGGTTTGAATTTCTTTGAAGGATATCTGTGAGGTTTTTATTTTTTTTCAACATTTGGATCTAGAGCAGTCAGTAGTGCTTTATGTGGTGAGGTTTCTTGAGGTCATGAGGTGATACAGTAGTTGCTCATTCTATTTTATTTTTCAGTTTCCAGAAAAAGAAGCAGTTTCCTAAATATCCAGGAACCTGCTGGACAAAACAACAGAAGAGGTGCTGGAAATGAGGAATGCTGTTCATGTGGGGACTTTGTTGCTGATGGAGGAGAATTCTCTTTGAGTAGAGTTTACCAAAATGACACCAAAATGCAGCACCTCCTCTTGCCAGGCTCCTCTGGTTCATAGGACCATGTGAGAGCATCTCTCAGCTGTGTTTCTGAAGGTTCTGTCATCAGTGAGGCTGGGTCATGGTGCATCAGACCTTTTTTGGGCTCTTTGTCTCCATATAATTCATGGAGGAAACACAGACAGTCCCTGATGTTCCCTTGGGGGCCTGATGTTCTGTGGGTGCATGACTCCTGCCTTCCCTAGGAGGCTGGTAGGGAGGAGGGTGTATTTGGAGGGGGCAAAGAGGACCAGCAACATAATTACTATTAGCACAGTCTGGTAATTTCTTTTGATGCATGTCTATCACTGGATATTTTGAAAAAAAAATTCTGTTCTGTAAATTAATACCCTAACAGTGAGGTCAAAGAAGTCTTTCACCTCCTCACTGTATCACAGATGTGCATACATTGCAAGGTATTTCTGAAGTCAAAATATTTTCTGATTGAAAAACAGTAGCGCATGAATTTAAATATGCGAACCTTAATAATAAGTTGCTGTTAGGACTACGTTATCTAATAATATGGTACCACATGTACTAATTAACCCCAGTATGACTGGGAAAGTCTGTGAGCACTGGGGAATGATGTGCAGCTCAAACAAGATAGTCAACAGCATCATGTTTTACACTTTCATCTGTTTTCTGCAGATGTTCAGTAATTTATGCTTACAGTAGAGAGATCTATGTATTATTGATCAAATCACAGGTAAGTGTACCACAAAACAATGCTCTCACCAGCTTGGAGTATATTTACAGTTTATGTCCAACTTTTAACATGTGTATTGTCTATTTTTGCTCCTGTGGATCACAATATGGGCTTTTGGATCAAATCAAGCTGCACTAGCTGAAATAATCTTTCTAGTATTGTAGGAAAAGAAATTTCTTTTCTGTAATTAAGGCTGAGATCTTTTTCCTTCATAAGTTTGTTTTTGTCCCCTTTCCCTTTCTGCTGAAAAACATAAAAAGTGTTCTTTTTGCTTCACATTTTGCATGCACAGCCTGTACTCAGTGGATAATGATTTATCCAAATTTCATGATTCACTCAAACTGTGCTAGAGATAGGGGGCTCAGAATAAAGTTGGTCTTAATCATGATATGAGAAGTCTTCCATGCATTTTTTTGCTTTCCCCCCCCCTCCATTAATATTACTTGCACTGGAAACTTATACCTCAAAGTTATCAGGAAAATCTAAGACATGGTCTTACTTTTGCAATGAAAAAGGCACTGGTAAATAGGAATGCCAGAAGCATCCCCAGTGTTAAATTTTTAAGAATAATTAATGAAATAGAAGCTAAAATTAACTGCAAATAAAGCAGTTTTGATTTTTGAAAACTGTCCTAGAGAAATAAACAATCAATTTAGGAAGGAAAAGTTTTATCTTGATCCCACTGTAGACAATGTCAGAGCTTGTCTTTATTTTTTAGCATATTGTTCTTGCACCCAACACTTGTGAGACTCGCAGGACCTGTGAAAATAATTCAGTCATAAACAATCCTGCAACAGCTGTTTGTAAGGAAAAGCTGTTGTACACCACAGTCTGCTTTACAACCCAACACACCGGATTTAGTGAATGAGATGTTCTCTGTTGGCGAGTAGCGTGGCAGAGCTCATGCCCAAATTTCCCTCCCGCTTCCCCATCCCCGCTGGTGTGGCTTCTACCTTCACCAGCCCATGCTCTGGCCTGCTGTGTACCCACAGTTGTACAGACTGTGCCAGGGCATGGGCTGGCAGGGCAGTAATCTTGCTGGGTGGCCTCTTCAGCTACAGCCAGCCCCAACACTACTTGAAGTGGGGGAAGCACTGCCAAGCACCCAGCTCCATCACACGGCTACACCTTCCCCCGAGCTGTGCTGAAACAAGTGTTTGTGTCACCACACGGCTCACCAGGCCAGGGAGCTGATCTGGCTGGAAAACAGCTCAGCAAAAGCAAGACATGACTGGGAGTGTGTGGGAGGGGATGGACAGGAGGGAGCAGGGAGAGCGGTCACAGCTACAGCCAACTGCTGACAAGCCATTAATCATCATACGCCCCTCAGCCGCTTGGAGTGAGCAGGGTAAGGCTGTCTCCAACAAGGTTTTTGTTGTATTTAAGGAATGATTTATTTCAGTGACATTGCACAGTATGTCAGAAACAAGTGTTCAGTACTTTTGTTTTAGCACCTTTCTCCTGCATGGGCTACTGGTAATACAGCCCTTGTCTTATACAGTGCTGCAATGCCATCTGAATGCAGTAGAGAGTACGTTACAGAGGAAGAAGACCTATTTCAGTTAATCCATGAGCATGAAGTCCATCTAAGCATGAGATAAACTATGAACAGCCTGAACCCAATTTATGAAATCAGATGATTTATCATGAAAAATGGAAAGCAAAATTTCACTTCACATTATGATGAGACATGGACACATCTGTGCATAAAACCAATTAAAAAGTCAATGTTCTGCTTTGCGCATTTTTCAGCACTCCACAAAGTGTAAAATGCTGTAATTTGTAAGATTTCCACAGCTTATGGTCATACAGTCCTTTGACTACAAAGGAAAATATCTCTTCATCTGAAAATAACCCACCTTAAGTGTGGAAAGAACAGTCAGGTAGGTGGCATTGTTACAGGAGTGACATTATGGTGGCAGGGGCTTTGACTCTTCACTTCATTGTGCTCTGGCTTCTGTTATGATTAGTCTCAGTTGTCTATTATCTGCTTCTTAATACAGGAAGTTTTATACTAAATCCTGTATTATTTTCATTTTGATGAAATCATCAATGCATAATTTAAAACAATACCCACAACAGGAACACGCAAACTGCTGCAGGAGGTAAAGGCAGGAGTCCAGACACCAGTTTCCAGTGTGGGTCAGTCTGGTAGATTTGTCTTTAAGTACAAATATTCTGCCTCATCAACTTTCTGACCCTAATCTTATTTTCCTCACTTTTTACTTTTTTTCTCTTTTTTACCCATAATTATCTGACCCATAATTATATGGCAACTATATTGGGATTCACTTATCAGGACGGACACTAATGGTATGTGAGGTTTGACCATGATGCATGTCATATACTTTTTATACCTTTTTGTGTAGGCAGTTTGTACAGAAAAGAACCAGCATTGTACTCACCAGCTCAGCATACTTCTTAAACAACAGGTCCAGCTTCTCTTCTGGAGTATTCAGCTTATTCAAACTTTGCATCAGTAGGGTGGCTTCTTTTCCTTGGAAAAAGAGGAAGCAGAAATTTGATGCTAGAGGTAGTTTGTAGTTGATGTACCGTTATGAAATGGATTGTTTGATGCATGGATCTGTAAAAACACAGGGTGAAATGAGGCATTTTGGAAGGAATAGAATAATTTTTGCTACAAATTTCCGAGTTTTTCTTTGCCCCATAAGAACTAGGACTTTTCTCCATTTCAGACCTCAGTAATGTGCTTTTTTTCTAACAAAAGCATTGTCTGTGAAATGCTTTTGTCCTGTGAAATCTGATTTTCATTCAATGTTTTTGCAACAAGATTAGGTCAGACACATGGCACATTTGACTGAACTAGGACAGAAAGGGCTTGGACCCCAAAGGCTCAGGAACAGCTCTCTTTTCAAGTGAAAGTGCATCAAGTCTGGTGTATTTGTCTCCTTTGCTGACCAACCCTCACAAGACATCAGGAATATTACGTCAGATATAGAGACTATGGTGTGGCAGTAAACAATCAGAGAGTGGTAGGTGCTGCCAGCCAGGTCTGGGCTATGTGATACTCGTGTAAATCAATTCCCTGGCTTGGTGGAGTGGAGAAAGCTTGTATTCCAGAGAGAGTCTAATAACTCCCTGGGCGTGCAAAGCTAAATCACTGCACAGCCATTTAGGTATTGCTTCTCCTCTGGTACCTCTTGGTTTTCATTTCAGCCCCAGGTATGAGCTGGAGCTTGAACACTGCTTGTTCATCAAATACAAAGTATCCCTGACAACCCTGGAGATAAGGTTTCCTGTGGTCCCAGGGTCTTGGACATGCTTTTCCAGATGTTCCTCTTTCTTGAGACTGTGAGATAAAATTTGCTTTCTGCTTTGGGCTGGATATTTTCTACTTCTATTCTAGTGCAATCCAGGAGAATTGTCTCTGGAGAAAATCCTTTATTTCACAGGAAATTCTCTTTAAAGCATCAGCATAAATAAGTGGAAGTGAGCTAAAATAAAATCCTGGTGTGAATTGTCACAAGGGCAGATGGAGAACTGTGTGTTGGTAGGGTTTTCACTGAGCTTACTGAGGTACCAGTAATAGCACCAAAACCAAGGCAGTAGATATTGAGGAATTTCCTGCTGGACATTCAAATAAATTTCGAGGAAAAAAATGCATGCTGTGTCCTATGCTTAGTCCATTGTCTGTAAGAATGTCCTGGAGTGATTCGTTTACAGGCTTAGTCTGCATTTGGGCTTGGGTTCTCTTGCAAAGGACAGGCTCGAAGATTGGCTGGAGTTAAATGTAGCAATAATTTACATCTATATTAGATTGGCATGCAACTACACTGCTCTCTAGTGGCTGCCCGGCAGAAAGTACATGTATTCAAAAACTTGCTGTGACTTCTTTCTAGCTCAGCTGACAGCCCTACCAGGGCTGAAGTGTTAGAGAACAAATGTATTGGCTTATTTAATATATATTATATGGTGATTCCAGGGGTTTACTAAATGAAAAATAATCTGGTCATAACAGTAAATTTATTCTGCAGGTCCCCATGCCAAACAGTAGCACCTTTATTGCTGTTGTGACCAGTGAGTAGTCATATCTGAGCAGACAGGAGAAGAAAACATCCACTAAGGTACAGACAAGAGGTTAGGTTTTCCTTCTTCTAAGTGACTTTGTGCAGTGTGTCATTGGACTGACAGCTTTGGCTAACCAGTGTGGGAGGCCCAGTAGTATGTCAGTGTTGTGTGATACAACTTTTGTTTTAAAGAACTAATATCTGATATAGCCTACATGTTGGGTAGTGCCAAAAATGATTATCAGTTATAGAAAAGTTGTAATGGTCTCTGTAATTTTCAGTGGTAACTGGAAGTCTCTATCATCCATACCATGAACTTAACATGGTAAAGAGCAAGGACCAGGGAATTCTCACTTGTGTTTGCAGAAGGGCTGCGTGAGTATGTAAATACTTACCTAGTCCCTTCAGGATTTTCTTCTCCAGCTTCTGCTCCTTGTTGCCACTGGGCTCCTTTGCTTTGGAAGCATCCCCAGGAGCCAGCTTCTCTTTCTCACTCTCTTCATTTCCATCTTCATACTCTGCATCCTCCAAGCTGCCTGGCTCTCCCTTCTCAGGCTTGTTGGTTCCTGCAGCAGTGCTTTCCTTCTCCATCAGGCTCGTGGCAGACCCGTAAGTTTTAATGATGTCCTCCAGCTGCCGGCTCAGCTCCTCTGAGATGTCACACACAGCTGCTTCGGGCCAGGTACCTGGCTGCGCCATGGGGACTGCTGCAGAGGGTGCCAGGCCAGGGGAAGGTTTGTCCCCACTCTGCCCCTGGATGTCCTGCCCAGGTGAGGCAGAAGACTGGTCATTCTCCATGCTTAGTGCAGCCCCTGACAGAAGAACAAACGGAGAGTTAATTTAAAGGCACAGAACTAGCCATATAACGAATTTGCCATCAAGCTGTTCCCAAAGCTTGGCCAGCATGTGAGTGATTTTGTGTGAAATTTGGGATGGCAGCTTATCCATTAGTTCTGGCTTGACAAATATGTCACACTTAGATAAATAACCAAGGTGATTTGCCTGCAAAGAGAAAGGTAAATTATATCATTTCCAAGAGAAAACCTACCCAAATCTAACACTTCAAAAAGGAAAACCTCTTATTCCCACTGCCAGAAATGACACATGAAATGACACCCCAGTCACTTATACCATTTTCTTTCTTGAATAAAATATTTGCCAAATGTTTACTTTTCTTGATCTGTTTACCTGCAACACTGTCTTCTGATACGGGCAGCTTCACTTCAGAGCTGCATTAGTTTCATTTCCTGTTTCTCTCCTGTTGACACATCTTAAGTCAATAATCACAAAAAATATTTTAATTAAACTGGTGCACTGAAAATTGCACTGTGCCCTTGAAAAGCCCAGCATGGTGCTTCATCTACAAGTGACGTGGTTTGGTACTGTCACAATAACAGCAAAGAATAAGATTAACAGCTATAAACCACCCTTCTCTTGTACTTGCTGCGTGCTGCTGACAGCTTCTTTGACAAAGTACGAACTACAGAATAAATCACAATGAAATAAAACCAACCACACATAACATAGTTTGATTGCCCATGGTGTTCTGTGGGCCAAATTTCAGCTAATTTATTCCCAGTTTGCAAAGGGAGGCTTTTGTTTTCTCAGGTTTTTGAGCAGCTGCACTCAGCCAGGCAAATACAGAGCCCCCAACATATCAGTTTTCCTGCTCTGGTTTACCCAGGACCTGGTAATGAGGTTGCCAGCAAGGGCATCCTGGGCATCAGGAAAGCTCAGAGTAGTGAAGGCCCCTTCCCTCTCAGAGGGAGAGGCTGCAGGCACATCTGTGTTGCCCTCATGAAGTAGTGCAGAGGTATGAGGTGCACAGCTGGACTTTGATCTGCAGCTAACCCCCACTACTGCTTGACTGCAGACTCTGTACTCTTTCCAGCCATGAGTCCTTTCTCTTGCTGTTCCAGACTGATTTTTGTTCCTTTCCTTAATAACATGATTTACAATGGTGCCAGTGGGGAAGAGGGGAAAAGCTTACGTGGTTGGTTCTTTCCAGCATCTGAAGTGGTTGCTTTCTTATTTTTTAAAAGATTTTGAAAACATGGAGCTAACTGGGAAGCATTTTGTTCCCTGTTCAAACAGGCTGTAACATATGTTTTCTATAGTGTCTAAATTTCTACAGCTTTCAAAACAGTAAACTTGACCAAAGGCATTATATGATAAAGATATGTCATTTACTGTAATAAATGACTCAGTGTTTTTAAATTCTCCCCAGTCAAAGTGATATTTAGAAATGCAGCGATGGCCATCACTAAGGCAACATTTTTGAAGATCTGATTTTCTAGCTATATAACCAGGCTTGCAGATAAGATAGTCAAATGAATGATCATCTCTCAAGCAAATAATTGAAAGCTTTGAGTTGGTTCAGGAAGCGCTTGAAAACAGTTAGCTATAAATCCATGCCCCTGCAGTCCACCCATAGATACAACTTGCCAGCAGAAATGGCTCAGGAATGCATCCGAACCTGGTCTCGCAGACCTGTCACACAATCTTGTCCCATTCTTTCCTCACTCCTTGTGGCATAGTCATTATATCACTGCAAAATGACTGTGAAATTATAGCAATCTGATTTGATATCATATTGAGTTTAATCTACATTAAAAAATTAGATAGTATATGTGCAATTTAAGTAAATAATTCCAGATAGCACAAATTTTAGCCTCCTTTTTGAGATCTGTTTTAACTAGAGGTAATTGACTGCCAACTAATTCAAGGTCAGTAAAAGCATTGTAAAGGCTAAGCTAGACACTCCACAAAATATGTGTTTATCTCTGACATGTTCAGACTAGTATTTACTGTTGCAATCATTAATTTGAGATAATTGGCAGCGGCAATCTATCAGCTAGGAAACCCAGGACTACCAGCTTTTGTTTAGGCAGAATAAAACTCTCAGAAAGTATATTCCAATTCAAAATAGCTATTTTTGTAATATGTTCATCACAGAGCAGGACTGCAAAATGCTCCATTTCCAAATATTAATTTATTTTCTGACTATCTTCCTTTCTTTGTAAGAAAGTATAAGCTGATGTTCTTTCTGTACCCCGACTCTCTCACTTGGCTGCCTCCCAACTTCATCATTCATGTGGTAGCACTCTCTGTCTAAAGGTTTCCTCTTATGTGAATCACAAAGCATGTCTCCAAATACTGTAGGCTTTAAATCAACTGATCAACTGTGGCATTATGTGTCTCAGTAACAAGGGAAAAACATGGGTGAATGAAAGAGCAACTGGATGATTAGAATCAAGGACACAAAATGTTTACAAGCTGGCCTTGCAGGAAATCTTCCCTAACATACATTCCTGGCTAGAAAGGGATTAGTTATAATCAGTCTGAAACCATGGCAATTCACATCTGCTGAGTTTCCACCCACCAGCCCAGAATGCTGAGCAGGCAGGAACCCCAGAAATACACAGCAATGAACTTCTAACCCAAAGGTGCCAACCTGCTGGGTCGTATTAGCAGTTGTATTTACACACACAAATAAATATCCTAATGTTTTATTTTGTTCTTCCTCAGGCTAAACCAGAGTTCTGATAACTGCTTTCCAGCACAAACACAATGCCTGTGAAGACTTGTATACTTTGTTTTGCACAACAGCTTCAACAGCGGTGCAGTTTATGTTGAGGGAGTCACAGCATCTGAGAGTTGCCTACTGACAGCCTTTGATGCTGGGAGTTTTTACTGCAGTTGGCCCCAGCTGTCCCTTGTACTCCAGCCTGATTAACCTTGATGTACACAAGGAATTCTCCCTTATCAGGCCATAAAAGACTTTTGGTGCCAATTTCAGCAAGACCCAAAGTGTTTACATTATACTCTATCTTAAACACAGTAATGCCTAAAAATTAGGTGACTGAGTCCAGAAGAGGAATTCCTTGGTTTTTCAGACTTGCCCAATTTTAGACTGGCCACCTCTTCAGTTTTGCAACTCCTACTAGCATTACTGTTGCCTCCAGACACCTGAATTTCTAACACAGCCTTACTCTGTTTTATGGTAAGGGGGAGGACTGGTCAGTCTGACTGAGTCTGAGCATTGCATCTTTTACTTTTTACAATTTTTGTCCTGCATTCCCAAATCCTGGACCTGTTCCACAGCTGCGAGATCAGCACCTTTCTTGGCCCTGGTGTTTTGGATGGAAACTTGACACTTGTGGTTGCTGCCTACAAATAGTTGCTGTGGTCCTCCTCTCCTTCAGTGGGGAACACTCCCAAGAGCCAGAGGGTGCTGCTGCCTCCCCACTGTCAGAAAGACTCTACTCCATTCTCCTTCCTCCATTAAGAACTTGGGATAACTCAGGACAGAAATGGAACTCTCAGCATAGCTGAGCACACAGCACGGCCACAGCTGCACCCAGAGACAAGAGTAAAAGTGTGCGCCTCAGATCAGTCTGGTTACATGCTGAGTTTGTTTGTCTGCAACTATATCCCTCAATATTTCACATTTACAGCACAATTTGCCTTCACTGTGCTTTGAAAATAGTCAGTATTTCCAAAGTAAAAGGTCAGTAGGCAAGGGCCAATGACTGATTTAGCAGAGCTGCAATAGCCATCCCACTGCTGCTGGGAAAACTGCTCCTGTGCTGGGGTGTGCCACTCCACCTCTCATACTGCTGGAAGCTGGCTCTGCTGCCCAGGCACCCTCCTGCCATGATCAAAACACAAGCATCTTCTTAGCTTGTCTTTGAAGACTGTCACAGAGTTTTGTTTAGCTTTTATAAACAGTATGCTTCCCCTTCTTTGTCATGGGATTTGCTTCCTGATTTCTTTCTTGCAGCTTGAACTTCTAGAGGGTTTACAGACTGGTCTATATTTAGCTTTTGCATCCCCATGTATTCAGCAGAAGGACACATGGCACCTGCTCTGAAGCCAGGAGCTATTTTAAGCTCTTCTAAAATTAGTGATGGTATTTAGCACTTTATGCTCAAAGTTCACATACACACACATTTCTCTAAAACAAAGCTTTACATATATTTGCACTAGCCAACACATGCTGATAAAATCTGATTTTTTTGTCTTCATATAACATCAGATTGGTCTGCAGTGACACCTCAAAGGAGCAAACATTAAACTCTGGAATTGCCCCTGCTACTGTAGCTCCGATCATCCTACAGAAAAGTACAAGTGCCTTCTTACAGTCTAGATAGACACTGCCCTGTATGTTACTTTAGAAAGCAGAGATAAAATCAGCTGTATCAGCTACCCACTGCATTTGAAGAGCTTTATGATTTATGTGCAATTTTCTAGTACAAAACTGAACAAAAGTTTGGAGGTTTTGTGGCAGTTTGGCTCAGAACCACACTTGGAGGCTTTTTGAAGCCTCCTGCCTCACCTCTCATGTGGCACCTGAATCTTGACCACTGGTCTGTTGTAACAGACCATGCATGGCCCCTGGTCTCAATTCAATGCAAGCGCAAGTGCTACCAAAGTAATCTTAAATTTCTCTGATCACTCTTAAGACAAGAATTTCTTACTTTCACCAACAGCCTTGGATACCTTCCTGTTTTCCTCAGATGTCACATGGTGCCCTGACTTTCCTAGGGCTGTTCCTAGAAAATGCAGATTGACGCTCCCAAAGGGAAGTACTTACATTAAAGCCCTTGTGCCATGTCACCAAGCAGTGACAGCAAGGAAGGCGTTCATCAGACTTACCGGAGCAAAGAGAAGGTCTGAGCAGAGGAAAAAAGTCAGGCAGAAAGCTCAGACAAGGGCACGCCAGCAACAGGTTCTGTAATCCTGCCACTGAGGAAAGAATGACGGGAAGACCAAGTGAGGAGGGAAGGACAGAATGACACAGGAGGAGCAAACAGTGCAGGGACTGAGTGTGCACTGTGCAGGGACTGTCTCTGATAGGCGCAGGGGACGCTGCCTGCTGGCTGGCAGCATGAGCCAGCTATGTTGGCTATTCCCCGCTCTGACAGAGATAGCATGAGAGATTAGAGACTTGGACCCTCAGAAAGAGAAAATAAAGGAAGGATACTTACACAGCTGCTGCCCTTCAAATTTAAGTCTTAATCCCTCAATGACTTGAGGGGTTGTGCTGTGTGAAATTTGTCTGTATTGACAATGGATTGGTCGAACTTGGTTGAATTTTTCAGTGTCTACCACAAAGACTGGGATGGATTTCCATAATGTGAACTCCCAGCTGTGACTGCCCTTTGCAGTCTTGGATTTGGGCAGGATTTGTTAAAAACAAACTGATTCCTAATCATAGACTCACTGGCTAGAAGAGACCACAGGACATCTTTAGTTTAAGCTCTTGCTTGAGGGAAGCTCAGCTGTGATCTCAGACTAGGTCTCTCAGGGCTTTAAATTAGTCTTTAAAACCTTTGTGGATGGAGACTGCATGATCTCCCTGGGAAGCCTCTTATCTGGCTTGACTGTCATGGCACTGAAAAAGTTTCTCTTTCTGCCTAGCCTTAACTTCTCTTGTTCCTGCTTGTGCCTATTGCCTCTTGTCTTCCTGCTTTACACTCCTATAAAGACCCTATCTCTATTTTCTTCATAATCTCCTCCAAAGCTGTCCCTTTTCCAGGCTGAATATCCAGCCTCTCCTCACAGGACAAGTGCTCCAGCGCCAGCAACCATGGTGGTCCTCTGTTGACCAACTTTTCCATCCAGTGATGCTAAAAGTGGTGAGTGGTGTAGCTGCCCCCGATCCCAGCAGCTCCCAAACAAAAATTGCAGCCAAGATAACCTTCTGACCTACTTTCTGCATGTGACCATGCTGGTTCATGTTGGCCCAAAGTTGTTGATACAAACATGCACAGTGCTCCCCAGGGACCTCAGCTGCACGCTACTTATGCGGCAACCAGCATTTCCCTCTTCTGTGACCCACAAGCCACTCAAGCACCATCTTGAGACGCCATATCACCTAAACACCATCTGCTACCCACTCCCTAGAAGGAGATGTAGGTCAGTTTAATGCACAGATATGCAAACAGTGGAGAAACGATAGGCTGGTACTGGAAGTGGGAGCCAGGGCTATGAGAAGAAAGATGGGACTTGGTCTCCAGTGAAAAACAAAGAGGCCCAGAGCAAGGGGTGGCAAAGCAAATTTATACTATAATGGTTTGGAGTAAGCTTCAGACTAATCCATGACAACAGAAGAGCCAGAAATGCTTTGTGCCTGATTTACAAGGGATGTCAGAGAAAGCAGTACTGGGCAGCTCAATATCAAGAAGTACCAGCTCAGAAATAGTCTGTATGTTAGCAGCATCTCAGATTTTTACTGGAGAGGACTAAAGGTCTTGCTATATTTGTGGAGATGGTGGGGCAAAAAGGTCACACTTGAGGTGGTTTCTCATTAGTCTTATTTCTTTACTTGGAAGAGGTAGCTCCTATAATTTGGGGATGCGTGGGCATTGTGGCTTCAGGAAAAATCGGTTCTTCCAATTTTCTTCAGACACTGGTAGTGCCTTGGTAGTATTCCTAAGGAAGTCACTGATTTAGGGGTAATGAAAAGGAGTGAACTTGCAAGGTCTGGGGCTTCTGTAGAAAATCTTTTGGAGAGGGTTGGAAGCTGGCTGGATGTGTTTTGAGAGAAGATAAAACTCTGGCGATGTTTGTGATAGGGCAGTGTGAGAGATCAGAATACCAGTGAAGATAAGAGTGTTTGTATGGGCTCCTTGTGCTCCTCTTGATTTGACTGAAAAATTCTCCTGTTCCAGTCCCTGTTCACTTTTGAAATAAAATCAGGTCTGAGATCAAAATGCACAACTGAGCTACCAAGGAGCTAAGTAACAGCTGAGCTGCAGAAACTTACTCTGGCATATCTTCACTCCTTGGCAAACACAAGGAAAGACGGATTCAGCTTTGCTCTCTTTCACTGGGGTTAAAGCTATTATGTGTCAGCTCGTTTCTGCAACAGCCTGCCTTCATGTATGGGAACCCTTATCACAGCTCAAATGAAATGATGGGATTCACTGGGTACTGGGATCTTGGTCATGTCCCTGAGACATCAGAGTGCACTGATAATGGGAAATGAGTTGTGGTCATCATTATAACAAACAGCTACAAGTAGTACAAAGTCATGTATTCTGAGTTGTTCCTAAATATGCAAGTAAATAAAGCAGTCTGTGGTAGAGTCAGGAAATAGAAAAGCACAGATAAAATCAGTATTACTAAGTTTGTGGGGAGTATGTGGGTGTAGCTTCAGAAGATTAAAAGAGATCTGCTGGATTTTGGGCTGTGAATTGAAATAACTGTCTTTGGAATGGAAAGGGAAACTCAGAAGAAATTTAGATGAGTGTGTTGAAACTGCCATGCAGGCAGTTTACATGCTGAGGACAGCCAACTGACTGGCACTTAGACTCTGCATGCTGGGATGGTTACATCTGGCAAGCTCAGGAGAGAGTGGACTGAACGTGCTTTCTGTGAAGCCTGCACTATGTCTGAGGTTTTAGCGTTTGCAAAGTTTTAGGCATTTCATATTCCTGTTTTGGGGAAGAGAAAGAAATCATTCCCTAATACATGAGAAAGAGGAGAAATGTATCTTCCTCACATTAAAGCTAGATGACTCCTTGAGAATTTGCAGGAACAAAACCAAGTTTATTTTACAGGTGTGTTCAGTTATGAGCTGGATTGCATATCAATAACCTATGCTCTCTTTGTTGGCAAAGAGAGTGGCATTTCCATGGAGGCCATAGGGAATATCACAAGCAAACTGTCTATTTCTGGATTAAACATAATCATCATCAGCATAAATCTATTGAAGGATAGACTTCTCAAGGGAGGAAAAAATTTTTTACCTGTATTTGTCATTTGCTCTATATAATATTGAATGTGTTCAGCCTTACCAAATGGAAGGACAGGCTCATCATTAAGTCAATGCTATTGAAGCTTTTTGGTTTCCTTCCTATCTTCCTCTGACATACCTCTTCTCTTCTTTGCCTAGGCCATTTTCCACAGCTGCAACATTCAGCTCTCATCTTCTCCTTCCTCTCCCCACTTCCTCCAGCACTAATGTTGCTTTTGGGAGTTTTGTGTGTTTTTTCTGTGTCCCATGGGATAGTTTAGGTGAAAAACTGATGTTCATGTTTAGAGTCTCTCTCTCAATTGCTCAAGGGCTTTAAAAAATGCCAACACTGAAGGCAATACTATGTTGGATAAAACCACTTGAAAAAGTTTTGAGGGTTTCTTTTTCACCACAAGCAATGGCAAGCCTTAGCTGTTCTTCTGCCTAAATGAACACTTAGTTTCTGCAGAAGCCCTAATTTCCCCTGGGAGCCAGTCTTTTGGCAGAAGGCAAAGAGGCTGAAGAGGTTTTCTTGCCTTCTGCACTGGCAAGGAAAGGGCTGTCTGCATCCCTCTGCAACTTGTAGCTGCTCTGCTCCATGACCCTGCTAGCCAGCAGCAGAAGGAAATGTGGAGACTAGCATTCCCAGTCCTGTCACACACAGGGATGCAGATGTCAGTGGACTAGCATGGTCTGCCACTTCAGTGCCAGTTCTGTATCAATGAGAGCATAATTTTTTTTATTCTTGTGCAGGAACTTCTCTAAGAATCTGAATGAGTTTTTCATGGCTTTCCTCCTGAAGAGTTTTTGGTTTATTTTTTGACAGATACACATTTTTCAAATTACAGTGTGCAGAGATAGAACCACGTGCTGTAATATCACTATTTCAGTCAATTATAACAATAAACATCATTAGAAGGCCAAACACATCCTGCTGCATCAAAAGCAGCATGGCCATCAGGTGATTCTCCTCCTCTATTCTGCCCTTGCGAGACCTCACCAGCTCAGCACAAATAAGGTGTGGACCTGTTGGAGCAAGGCCAGAGCAGGGCCACAAAAATGTGGGAGGACTTCTCCTATGAAACAACCCCCTCCTGGGCTTGTTCAGCTTGGAGAAGGGAAGATCTGGGGAAACCTTATAGCAACCTTCCAGTACTTAAAGGGAGCTTATAAATGAGAAAGTGTGATTTTTTTACATGGACAGATAGTGATAGGACAAGGGGCAATTTTTTTAAACTGAGAGATGGTAGATTTAGATAATATATGAGGAGGAAATTCTTTACTGTGAGGTTGGTGAGGCATTGGAACAGGTTGCCCAGAGAAATTGTAAATGCCTCATTCCTGGAAGTGCTCAAGGCCAGTCTGGATGGGGTTTTCAGCAACCTAGTGTAGTGGAAGGTGTCCCTGCCTGTGCCAGGGTGGTGGAACTAGATGGTCCCTTCCAACCTGAACCATTCTATGATTCTGTGATTCTATGAAATAGCATTGATCTGTTCTGTTCAAATATCACCATAATATACTTATGTCATTACATAATAAGATAATATACTTATAACATGATAATATACAGTAACAAGCAGGTATACAAAATATATAATGAAAGTATAGTGTGGATGAAGAATTTAGAAATGCCTATAAACATAAAATATAATTTGAATGTAGAAAGAGCCCTCATAATGGATCTTGAGACACAGAAGCACAGCGACATGTGAAGAGTGGTCTAGAAGTCGGAAAGCTGCTGAGTTTGGCAGTGTCTCTCTGCCATTGGCACCTACAATTAAACCAGTATAAGGAGCCTCCTATGATTTTCCAATTAAAAGTTTGTCAAGACCAATCTCCACTGGGTTTAATTTACTTGGATAGAAACGTTGTAAACACCAGGACCAGTAGGATATTTTCCATGGTGGTCTCTTGGGAATAATTTATCTTCTGTTTAGTCCTGTGTTAATGTGAAAAAAAAAGGGGGGGGGGGGAATAATATATTTGCATTCCACACTATATCAATTTTCTACAGATTTCCTAGCTCCACATCAATCACAAAAAGGTTGGAAGGTTGTGATTTGCCTTCTAATAAGATTTTATGGCCTGAAGAGTTTGTCATATACCTAATGTATGCCACGTTTTTTTCTTCCAGAGCTCAAAGATCCTGGCTACCAATGGCACTTAATAACGCAGCCAA